CGGAAGAAAGAGTAAGAAAGGCTGAAGAAGAAAGGGTAAGAAAGGCTGAGGAAGAAAGAGCAAGGATGGAAGCGGTGAGACATGCCGAGGAAGAAAGGGTAAGAAAGGCTGAGGATGAAAGAGTAAGAAAGGCTGAGGATGAAAGAGCAAGGATGAAAGCTGATATGGAGTTTGTGAGAAATGTGGCCAAAGAGGTTTCGAATGAAATAGAAGCCAAATTAGATGGTGCAATTAAGGAGGCAATACCTGCTAAAATAGCTGAATTGATTGATGAGGAGCTAGTGAAACGTACGGCTGATAAAATAGGACGTGAGGAGTTATCTAGATTTACTGATTCGGAACTATATGAGCTAGTAGTTGAGGAGATACTGCGTGGGGAACCAAACGAAAATAACGAACTAAAAAATGCACAGGATGAAATGAAAAAATTGGATGAGCCGACAAACCCAGATTTGGGGGGAGCTGAAGGTGGGCGGAGTAGCGAAGAGTTAGAAAAAGAGCAGGCGGAAAAGGAGCTGACTAAACTTTTTGAACAAAAGGAATCAGGACAGGATTTGTTAAATGATGAATCGATCGTGGATGTGTTTAAGAAATTAATGCACAATACTATTGTTAGCTCAGGTGACGAAAGTGATGGTTGAGATAGGTACATATGAGTGGGAGTAGGTGGGAGGTGTATGGATGGCTGCTGAAATAAAGGGTGCGTGAGGGTATCGAAATGAAAACATGGCAAACTGGTTTAGGTTGACATAAGACAGTCATGCTTTATTAAAGTTATTTACGGAAATGTGTTGATTGCTATTGATAATAGCCTTAGTCGATTAAATTCTAAGATCAATTACATCCGCAGTTTTTTGGACTGGTAAAACAGAGAGGTCTGTGGATATTCTTTCCTATCACAGGCGAACAAAAACTTCTGCACTAATATTGCCATGTTTGTTTATGATGCAATCTTTGGATGTATCTGGACAAAATATTAAACCCGTTTGTAAAAGAAAATACGGATATAGAATAAATTATACACATAATCACGTTTTACATGGTGTTTTGTTCACCTATACCGATAAATAGACGAACTTATTTGAACATGAAGT